TGAGTGAATGAGTGAGTGAGTGAATGAGTGAGTGAGTGTGTGAATGTCTGCTTTTGCAGTATCCCACAGGTTTTGGTATGATGTATCATTATTTTCATTAGTTTCAATAAATTTTTTGATTTCCTGCTTGATTTCTTCTTGGACCCATATGTCATTAAGTAGAATGCTGTTTAATTTCCATGTGTTTGTATAGTTTCCAGAATTTCATTTGTTATTGATTTCTAATTTTAATCCATTGTGGTCTGAGGAAATACATGGGATAATTCCAATTTTTTTGAATTTGTTGAGACTTGATTTGTGACCTAATATGTGATCTATCCTGGGGAATGATCCATGTGCTGATAAGAAGAATGAATATTCTGAGGTTATTGGATGGAATGTTCTGTAGATATCTGGCAAGTCCAATTGGTCTAGGGTATTGTTTAGATCTTGTGTTTCTCTGCGGATTCTTTGCCTACATGATGTGTCCAATATTGACAGCAGGGTGTTCAGGTCCCCTGCTATTATGGTATTAGTGTCTACTTCCTTCTTTAGGTCTAATAGAGTTTGTTTTATAAATCTGGCTGCTCCGACATTGGGTGCGTATATATTTATGATTGTTATGTCTTCTTGATGGATCAATCCTTTTATCATTATGTAGTGTCCCTCATTGTCTCTTTGTATGGGTTTTAGTTTAAAGTCTATTTTATCAAATATAAGAATAGCTACTCCAGCTCGTTTTTCTTTTCCGTTTGCATAGTAAATCTTTTTCCATCCTTTCACTTTTAGTCTATGTGAGTCTTTATGGGTGTGGTGGGTCTCTTGAAGGCAGCATATAGTTGGGTCTTCCTTTTTAATCCAGTCAGCCAGTCTGTGTCTTTTGATTGGGGAATTTAAGCCTTTTACATTAAGAGTTGTTATCGAAAAATGTTGATTTATTCCTAGCATTTTATTGATTATTGTTTGGTTATCTTAGGTGTCTTTTGTTCCTTTTTTTCTTATTTACTGTTTGTTTTCTGTATTTGTTGGTTCCTTGGGTTGTAGATAGCCTTTTTGTTTGTTTGTTTTCTCTTCATGAATGCCGTTTTTATTATACTAGTGGGTTTTGAGTTTTCTTGGGTTTTTATGGCAGTGGTAGTTCAACACTTGGTATGGTGTGGTCTGCACCATGCTCTACGAGAGAACACACCAGCCATCCCTACATAGGATCTGAACCCGAAGCCTCAGTGCTCCCAGCGCTGCACTCTCCCGAGTAAGCCACGGGGCCATCCCCGAATTATACCTATTTTATAAATGAGGAAACTGAGGCCCTTGGAATGGATGCCCCTTGCCCATGTTGCCCAGCCCAGGAGTGCCAGACTCCGAGGTGAGCATGTACTAGAATGTCCTCAGGTCATCCCATTAATGCACCAGCCCCCTATATTACTCAGACCAGTGAATGTGCCCTGGCATGGGAGTCAGAGGGTTTACCTCAACCGTTGCCACTCCCTCTCTTGATCTGTGCCTCAGTTTCTCCATCAGTAAAAATGGCTTTGAAACATGCCCAGGTGGAAGGGATTACGGTGATCCTCATGGTGACATGAGACATGTGTCTTTTGTTAGCCCTGCACGGTTGCCTCTTGAGTCACAACAGTGAGGGTTTGGGTTGCCTGGCACCCAAGTGCATGGTGAGGAGGAGCCCATGTGTACTTACTCCTGGAGTGAGAGGTACAGTTTGCAGCACTATGTGACCTGCAGTAGGCTGTCACTTAGGATTTGCAGGGTGACCTCGGGTCCTCTGGCATCTTCTATGACCAACCTGTGAGAGGCATGGGGGTGTTGGTGTGGTCTTTGCGACTCTGGAGTGTGTGTATCTGGAGTGGCTGGAATAGGTGCAGAGCGCAGAAAGGGTGGGGACAGCTTCAAGATAACCCCATCCCTCAACCCCCAGCCCAGCTGTAGAACACTGAGCTCTAGTTCTGGTCTCCAAGGCTTGCAGGTCTGGGCAAGTCCCTTCTTTTCTCTGGCCTCAGTGTCAAACTCTATACAGTGGGGAGGATATATTGGGGGAGATGTCTATGCACAATTTAACCTATCTGAATTCAAGTACAAGCGTCTGCAGAAGAAAAGCGAGCAGGAGAGTATCAGGAAAAGCAAGAAGGCTGGTGACTTCCTGCCATCGACTCCAGAAGCATCTGCTCTGCTGAGCACCCAGGAGCCTTCTGCTCCCTTCTGTAGCCTCAGGTCCCAGCATCTCCCTGAGCTGAGAGGAGCCTACGTGACTCATCTGGTGCCCACTGGAATGGGTAGCAATAAATTCTAATGCTGGAGGAAAACCTGGAAGGCTCCCTGAAGGCTGTGTGCTTGCCTCCAGCATGGAACCTTCTAGAGAGTTTTTAGAGAATGACTTGGACCATGTGGGGCTTTCCTCCAGCCCTCCTAAACTGATGCCCCCTGCAGGGGTAAGGAGCAGAGGCGGCATGAAGGCACAGGCAAAGGTGATGGCTGTCAGTCCTAGGTTTTGGCGTGGGCTGGTGCAGGGTGGGCCCGACACCCTCCTCCCAAGCTTTTCCGGGGAGTGCCCTGGCTTTTCATTTTCTTTCACCCCCATCAAAAAATTCCTTCTGGAGTCTTGTCATAGGATCTGTCTGGCCCTACCTGCTCATACTGGGGGAAGGACTCAAGGTGTGCCTGTGGCTGCATGGGCTGACCCTGCAGGAACCCCTGTCCCATTCTAAAGAAATATCATTCATTTGTGTTGGTACTTATTTTACCGGGAGCCTGTGACTCAGTTGCCTTGAGGGCCAAGCAGATAATGTAAGCGACTAGAAGGGGTGGCTGGGGACCAGTTTAAGGGCTACTAGCCTTGCCCCGATGATTGCCATGTGGTGGGTCAGGCCAGGTGTAGCCAGATCTTTGCTTTGAAGAGAATCAGTATTGTGGGCTGAATTGTGATATCCTGCTCCCAAATTTATATGTTGAAATCCTAACCCCTAGTACCTCAGAATGTAAACTTATTTGGAAATAGGGTCGTTACAGATATAATTAGTTAAGATAAGATGAAGTCATACTGGAGTAGGGTGGATCCCTAATCTAATATGACTGATGTCCTTATAAAATGGGGAATTTTGGACAGTGATATGGACACACACCCCAGGAGAATGCCATGTAAGATGAAGGCAGAGATTGGGGTGGTGCTTCTATAAGCCAAGGAACACCAAAGATTGCCAGCAAACCACCAGAAGCTAGGGGAGAGGCATGGAACAGGTTCTTCCCCGCAGTCTCAGGAAGCAAGCAACCCTGTCGATACCTTGATGTCAGATTTCAGCCTCCAGAGTAGTGAGACAGTAAGCTTCTGTGGTTTAGGCCACTTTAATGGAATTTTGTTACAACAGTCTTAGCAAACTATACAGTAGGGAAACAGATTTTGATTAAAACCTTCCTGATTTTTAAATGTTGGCAATTTGTTAAAAATATTTTTAAAAACACTGGGCAAGTTTGCAAAACCCAGATGTATGTGGCAGGCGGGAGGGCTGCAGGCTGAGATTCCTGGTGTAGACCCTGTTTTCTTCCTAGGAAGATTTCAGTGGCTTGGAGAGGTATGGGGGCAATAAAAATACACTTGTTTAGCACTCTCCAGGCTGCAGAGAACCTCTAAGACACTGGGGCCATCTGCCACTCCTCCTCTGCACAGGTAAGAATAACGGCTTAGGGAAACAGGCCCAGCCTGAGGGGGAAGAAAGGCCTGAGACAGCCTTGGCTGGACTCACCTGCCTACCCATAGCAGCTCCGCCAGCAGTGGGAGGCTCTTCCCCGAGAGCAGGTCCCCGACCAGCAATAGGCCTAACCCACTGCTCTTCTTGGAGAGACTTTTTCTTACAAAAGGTGGGTGGTCCAGGACAGCGACACCTTCACTCTTGACCCCCATCACTGGCATCCTGACCACATGGTACAGGATGCAGTGCTCCGAGAACAGGTCTGAAATGTCTGAGGACACAAGCCCCTCCTCAGTGTGAGGATTTACCCCTCATTCAGCCCTTCAACAACTGCCCACTAGCACCTGCTCTGAGCCAGGGTAGACAGTCATGCAGCAACAAGTTCTTATTAAGCTCCTGCTTTCCCCTGGGCTCAGGGAATAGGGGCAGGGTGGCTCCTGCCCTCATGGAGTTTACATTCTAGTGGGGGAGACAGACAACCACTGTGCTCAGATCAGCAAGCAAGGTGGCTTTCCACAATGATACATGCTACAGAGAAAGTAAAATGGAGTTGAGTCGGAGCATGACTGGGGGAATTAGTTAAGCTCATTAAGACTGGGATGAAGGTCTATTTCAGATAGGCTGACCAAAGAGTGCCTCTGAGGAGGAGGCATTTAAGCTGAGACCTGAATGATGTGAAATAATCCACTACTGAAAGATCTTGGGGGAGAGCAATGTAGGCAGAGGAAGCAGCACATGCAAAGGCCCTGGGGTGGTAATGAACCTGGTGTGCTTATGAAACAGGAAGAGCAGTGAGACTGGAGTGTGGTGAACAGGGTAGGAGGTGGATGAACAGCAAGAAGCTCATAGTCAAGAGTTAAGGAGAGAGACAGCCAGTGAGATAGGACAGCAGGTACAATACACTTGGATAAGGCCGTAGAAGGAGCTTCACCAAAGTGCTGTGGGAACCCAGAGGAAGGAGTTTCCTTCTGCCTGAAGAAATACAGAGGGATTCTCAGAGGAGGTGGCTAGAACTTTGCCTTCAAGCATGAGTGAGAATCCACCATATTGGAAATGAGGGAAAGAGACTTTTAAGCAGAAGGAACATTGTATGCAAAGGAGGAGCTGTGACATCTGTGGGGGTGGTCAGAGAAGGTGGTGGTGGAAGGGGCTGCAGTTGCACGGCCTTGAATGCCAGGATGAGGAGCTTGGAGATTCTCCTGAGGGCACTGGGAAGCCATGCAAGTGTTAGAGAGAGGGAGGGACAGGGTCAGCTCTGGGTGAAGGAAGGTGGATTCTGTGGCTGGCAAGGAGGAAGCCAGAGGAAGAGAAGCCGTGACCAGGGAGGTGGTGCCATCTCTCACCACTGATCTTCCCTGCATTCTTGCCTCTCGCAGCTCACCCCTTAAAATTTACCTGTCTCCAGCTGGTCCTTGCTGATCCTCAGGAAAAACAGGTTCTGGGTACCACCTTTGGCTTGGGACAGCAGCCTCCAGCATAGCAGTGACCCCCAGAGTAGCATCATCCTCCTGGCCAGGACCTATGGACACAGAGGTGGAAACCTTGGTGTCCTCACCGGGGACCTGTCACCCTGCATCTCCCAGCCTCCTTGCCTAGAACCATCTCCCCAGCATTCCTTCCCTTGCCTCTGCCCCTAGCTCCAGATCCACTAGTCCTTGAACACAGCTGCACTCCCCACCTCCATACATTTGGGCTTGTGGACCTGCGGCCTAGGGTGCCCTCCCCACTGTGTGGGCTGGCTTCAAAGCCTCTGCCACTTCCTGACTTTGTGATCTGAGCATTATTTGACTTCTTCATGCATCAGTTTTCTCATCTGTAAAATGGGGACACATAGGTTGTTGTGAGGAATACATTTGACAACATGTACAAAGCAGTTAGCAAGTAGTGAGCGCCCTATAGCTGTTAATGTGGCTGGACCACATTGTGAGGTGTTAAAGGATATAGTACTCCATTTTTGCATGGGAGGCTTCTGGATCTTGAGCACGCTAGGGGATGGGGGTCCTGGGGGAGCTGCCATAGTGGCTAGGGTGGCAGGCGTAGGCACCTGGGGGACTTGAAGCCACAGATTTTTTCTAACTAGTAGGGAAATATTTCAGCCATTGTGTTTGTACCAATTCATACGAGCAGAACCTCAGCCCTGCCCGAGTGGCCAAAAGGGCACAGCTGGGACCCTGGAGTCTGAATGCAGGAGGTTCTCTGGGTGGGCCAGAGCACACCACCAGGCAATGAAGCTTCTGGAACTGCAAGGCAGGGATCAGCAGGGGTGCAGACATCTCCAAGCCACCCAGGGTGTAAATACTGCTCCTGAGCAAGGGGAGGAGACCCCCAAAGTGGCTGAGCCTACTCTGGAGTGCCTGAGAAGATCTGGCATTGCTTTGGATATCCAATGTTTTGCTACTTAGTGGTACAGGAGTTCAACAGTGATTAAATTGAGTAATGGAAGAAAGTTTTTGTTTGCATATGCAAATTTGGGACTGTGAAATTTGTGCTGGTGTCATTGGTTATTCCTATTCTGCCTCCAGGCCGACGTCAAGTTCATTCCCCCTCATCCAATAGGCCTTTAGTCTGTATCTCTGTCAGGCACGGTTCTCCATCGGTTCACCCCATCGGGTCTCTCTCCCTCCCTGCCCTTAGCACTTCACACTGGTCTTCCAGCCCTCTCCACCTCTTGCCTTGGGTTGTCCATACCAGCCCCAACTTCTTCTTGAGTTCTTACCATGTGCTAGTACCACGGTGAGAGCTTTACAAGCTTCATTGCATCACTGAGTCCTCACCACAATAGCCTGGGATCATTGATATCAGGCCCATTATACAGATAGTGAAACCGAAGATCAGAAAGGAAAAATGACTTACCCAAGGTGACACAGGTAGTGAGTGGCAGAGCCAGGATTTGAACCCAGGTTCTCCTGGCACTAAGAATCTATGCATCACTTCACCACATTATTGTTGGTACTCACGAAATATTTGAGAAACGCCTGTGTTGGTCTCCTTATCCTTACCTCTCTAAGAATGGGGCTGTCCAGAATCTCTCCCTGCCTCTGTCTCCAGCTTCACAGAAAGACAACTTATATAACCTAAGCTCTGAAGCCCAGGTAGGTGGGCATATGGAAGCCCTGGCCTGGGCTTGTGGCTCAGAGGAACTCTTCAGGGGAGGGAGGGGTCCTCTTGGCACTGAGTGGCAAGAGGCTTCTGGCTAAAACTGATAGGGCCCATCACTGAGGTCTGAGGGGCAAGCTCTGGGCCCCCAGCCAATAGACCTCAGGGAGAAAGTGGGTGGGGGCCCTGTGGTTTGGGGGGTGGGCCCTTTCCTTTTGGAACAACATTGGAGCTGCAGAGCCTGGGGCAGGGCCTCAAGGAGTAATACAGGATGTGACAGTCACAGGAACCAAGGGAGTGAGGCTGTGGGGCTGGGGTGGGGGGAGGAGAGCAGGTAAGGTCAGAGGTAGGGCTAGGAGGGGCTGGCGTCCAACCCATGGCCATTTCCCATGCCCTTTCTATATATGTTGTGATGCCATAATTTCCGCTATGGCATGGTCACCAAGGGCATGGCCTGTGCAGCCAGTGAGGCCTGGGTTCAAATCACTACCGTCACTCAGAAGCTGTGTGACTGTGGGCAAGTTACTTTCCCTTCTGAGCCTCACTTTTCATATCTGTAAAATGGGAATAATAAATCCACCTGTCTTTTTGGTATTGGGAAGTTTTATTGTGGCAACTCATGTAGATGTCAATAGAGAGCCTGGCATATAAGAAGGTTCAAAAAAGTTTATTTTAATTTCCATTTTACAGATGAGGAAGCTGAGACTCAGAGAGGTTACCTTGCTCAGGGTCACACAGCATGTTTGTGATGAAGCTGGGACTTGAAGTTAGGGACCAGAGAGGGGACTGACCACCCAGTGAAAGGGAAATTCGTGTTACTCTGCAATGCCACTCGAAGACTCCAAGTTCTCACTCCCAGTCAAACTGCTGTGCAAAGATCCTCTTATGTGGGACTCCTGGTGTCCCCATTGCAACTATGCACAGCTGACCGTGTCAGCACTGGCTCCTTTATTAACTACGGTCCCGTGTGGTCACTCCAGAGGCCAGCTAGACTCATCTCTAGGAGGCTTTTATAGTTTCCATAAGGTTTTCCCTGTGATTAATGTCCTTCCCTTTCACAGCTCAGCGACGTGGTCAGGCAGGTGTTAAACTCTGTTCTTCAGCTGGAGACATGGGGCGGTGGGGCCGATGGTGGAAGGGCGGGCTGTGGAGGACAGTGGCTGCATAGGAACTGCAGGTCAGTTGAGCTAGTTCTGACGTTCTCACTTTGGCTATTGTCAAAAGCAAAAGGCTCATGTTAGTATGATTCAGTAGCATATGTTAGATGGGATACTCTTATTCTAGAATCTGAGTCAGAAAATCATGGACTTTTGGGGTTGGAAGGTGGTTAAGAGTTGGCAGGTCCCCCTCATTTCTGCTGATTGGGTCTCAGCACTACTGCCAAGTGCTGTCCCCCTCCTGCCTGGGGTAGAGAAAGGATAAGGGTTAATTGCCTTATCTGAGTCATCAGGACAGCACAGGATGTTAGTGGAAGCACGCAGGTCTCGCTTTCCTTCCAAAATCTGGCCTCTCCAAAAGAAATGGGAGGGAAGAATTTGGCTGCAGCTCATGGACTTCCTCTGTTTACCTCATTGACTAATCTCTGCTAAGAGGTGGGAGATTCTCTGGGGGTCTTCTCCACAAGAGGGAAGCCCTGGGAAGGACACAGAGAGGTACGAGATACCATTACTGCTTCTTTGAGCCTCAGTTTATTGATCTGTAAAATGGGAATGTTAATCCCACAGGAAGTGTTTAGCACTGTGCTGGGAACTGAGTAGCCCTCTGGGAATAGAGGCAGTTAGTTGTCACTGCTAATTTGAGGAATAAGGAAACTGGATCAGTATCTTGCCGTGGATTCAGGTGGGAGGCTCGGGGCAAAGTGAGTAGGGCCTGGGTTCCCATCCCTGCCCCAGCATTTCACCCGCTGTGTGTTACTTGATCTGTCATGTGTAGGTCAAAGACAAAAATAATTCATGTGAGGCAGGATGATTTATTGATCTCTCTTGGTGTTTTGTCCTTGCTGCTGCTGCTAAGACTCAGACAAGTAGAGGAGTTTTCTCTCCCCCAGCCTAGGAAGGTGGTGGAGTCTTGGAGTTCCTGGTCTGGGGGCTTCATGGATGCTGGTTGTGTTTCACGCCCAAATCAGAGTGAGGCCGGCACAGGGGAACGACCCCTCTCCTTCCTTATGGGAGGTAGAGACCTGGGGGTGGGGTGGTGAAAGAGAAGAGAGTAGAGGGAGGCAGTGTGTGTTGGGGGGTAATGGTTAGGGGCTGCTTGGTAGTGGTGTAGAGTTGTCAGAGCCTCAGTTTCATTTGTCAAATGGGGTAAGGGCGGAGCCTGTGCTGTAGGCGGTGGGGAGGCTGGGTGGGGGACGTTCTGTAAGACCCTTAGAACAGTGCCTGCATGGAGCAAATGGTTGTCTCAGTTTGGGTAGCCTGAGACCAGGATCTGAGCACAGGTGATTGACTTGGGAGATGATCCCAGGGAACATGGGTAGGGGTCTGGGAAGTGAGGCAGCAAAGGGAGATAGCCCATAGTGTGTTATCCAGCCAGTTTCCACTGTGGGCACCTGGGGCACAATCCTGCTGGGGGACTCTGGGAACCAGAGTAGAGCATCTGTCTCAGAGTTGTTTTCAGCCCCGGAAGATATGGATGGTGGGCCCCAGGAGTCCTCAGCCACACCTGGTCCCTGTGACCCAGCTTGGCTGGGTGATGGAGGGTCATGTGGATCGGGAGATCCTTCCACAGGACCAGGTGGGACAAAAAATCAGAGTCCTGCCCCTTCCTCTGGGCTCCTTGGAAGCCCCCCCAGCAGATGCTTGTATGATGCCGGGGAGCCAGAAGAGACCCACCCAAGATGAGGTAGACATTGACTTCCTCACCTCCCTTGCGAGTGGGGGTTAAAACGCAGATTTAACGTGATTTGGGAGAATGCTGGAATGGGATGTGTGGGGAGCAAACTCCTACCCAGTCCTCAGGCCACACAGTATAGCTGGGAGTCGGCCAGGCGTGGGAGCTTTAGCACAGGCCTGGCCCTCGGCAACTGCTCAGTAAGTGGTCACCGATGCTGAGGTAAGGGCCTCGTGCAGAATCTTGTCCTGGCCCCTCCACATCCCCCCTGGCCTGGCCCATGGCTTGTAGACAGGAGAAGCTCCTTTCCTGCTGCCTCCCTGGGCTGAGCTGTTCTCATGCCTGTTTGTGTGCTGAAGTTGACTAATGCTGCTTCCCGAGCCCCACCCCTTCCTGCATGGCCCCTCGCATACCAGAAGGATTCTGAGTGCTGAGGAGGGCCCAGGGCCTTCAGAACAGGGGCCCTATTGTTCATCTCGAACCTCCTGGCATCAGGTAAGCCGGGGAGACAATGGCACTCAGATGAACGCACTGTCTGAGTGGGAAAGGCCTTTGGTGATAAGACCCAACACTCTGGAGACTAGGCAACAGCAGTGGAGATAACATCACCTACACATGACATTGTCTGAGTATCTGTCATGTGCCTAGAACTGTTCTCTCTCATTTAATCCCCACCACAGCCCTCCAGTGTGGGACTATCATTCTCTCCATTTTACAGAGAAGGAAACTGAGGCCCACAGAGGTGAAACCACATCCCATCACACTGCCTGCCAAGACCAACAAAATGAACGCCTCCCACCCAAAAGGCCATCCCACCATAGATGGCCTTGAGGCCAACAAGGAAGGCAGGAGGGAAGAACTGGCTTTCTTATTCCTGAAGCCAAGGGAGGTGGTTAAGACCATGACTTCATGCACATGTGGTCTGATGTAGCCCAGCTCAGACACTGGCCAGATGGGCTCAGATGTGCCTGAACAGACCCAGATGTGGCTCAGACGTCCAGACCCCAAGCCTTCTAGGGGCAAAGCGACTCCTGTGCTAGGACAAAGATGGACTCCGGACTGCAGGAGTCATGGCAAGTGTTTATTGATTGAAGAGAGTGATGGTCTACAGAGCTCCCTCCAGGGACCCGGCCTGCCCTGGGATGGCCACTGTCCAAGTCTTTGCCGGGAGACAGGAGAGCTGGGATTCTAGAAGGAGGCCGGGGTGACCACAAGGGCATCCTGGAACAGAAGGAGAAAAGTCAAACAGGTTTTTCTTTTTACCTCCTGCCTTGTTGTGGTTCGACTGCTGGCATTGGGTGGTCATGACCCTAAACTCACTCATACAGGATTCTTGGAAGAGGTGGAGTGTCTGTGTGTGGACAGTAACACCACACAGGGGTCTGCGTGCAGTGGGTGGGATTGTGTAGGACTATGGTCCCCAAGCTCAGCCCACCACCAAAACTCTCCAAGAAGTTTTGTAAAGTGCAGATTCCTGGCTGTATCCATTGGGACACAGGCAGCTGAATTTTTAACAAGGCTCTGCCTTTTTTGTTTTTTAAAACTATGATATGAGGAGCTTGCCCTATTAGATGCCCCCCAACATTTTATTATGACCATTTTTAAACATCCAGAAAAGTTGAAAGAATTTTACAATGAACACCTGTCTACCCATCACCTATATTCTACCATCAACTTTTTAAAAACATATTTGCTTTATTTCATATCTATTCTTTTATTCATTCCTTCTACTAGATTTAAAACATGTTATATTACAAAGCTATAGAAAGGAAATCGGTGTGCTGCTAGCTAAAAACAAATGAATAGAGCAAAACGGGAAAAAGTAAAGATGCTAAATGTCCCCTAGAGAAATAAACTGAGCTCCAGCCATCCATTCGTGTGGAACACCAGTTGTCATTCAACATGAATCAAGTACAGTATTTGTCTTAGATGCATTGCTTATATTAAGATTGGATAATTGCAGTGTGGTCCATTAGTGCATGGCCAGTGTATTCAGACATCTGCTGGGTTTTATGAATGAGGAATCTGGGCTCGGAGAGGCCTAAGGACCTGCCCGAGGTCCCATCGCTAGAGAGAGGCAAAGCCAGGATTTGACCCAGTCATCTGGTTCCTGCCTCTAGAGTTTCAGCCTCTCTCTGTACCATCTACAGTGCTGTTGTCATTGTTCTCCACCAAAACCAGCTGAAGGATGGACCTGGTTTTAGGGTGGGCAGCTGATAAGGCAAGTATCAATTTGCCTTTGAAGCCAGTTAACAAAGCCCTTGACCCTGCATCCAAATGAGACCCCACTGGGGGGCATTTTTGAGGCTTCCTATCCTCTGTGGATTTCTCAGAATTAAGTGGCTCAGGAATTTAGTGTTTCCAATGAACAACTTTGGGTGAATCAGTACTAATAAGGGTTAAAGGTTTGGATTTTCTAAATTGTTAATAATTCTGTTTTCAACATGTCTCCTCCTCTAGAGTAGACTAGAAACTCCAAGAGGGCAGGGGTTTCTGCCTGTTTTGCTCATTGTTGGGATCAGGGCCTACATACAATAGGTGCTTAGTAAATGCCTGCTGGCCTGCTGAGACAGGCACCTTGCTGTCATTGGCTCATGCAGAGGTTGGGGACCAAAGCCTCAGGGCAGGTGCTGAGTGCAAATCCCAACTCTGCCACCTACTGGGTGTATGACTTTGGAAAGGGACTTGCCATTTGGAGTCTCAGTTTCCTCATCTGTAAAGTGGGGGTTATAATATAACCTACTGTATAGGGAGGGTGTGAAGACTGAGTGAGATGCTGCCTATACCCCAGTGCCTGGCACACAATGATTGTGGGCTGTTCTTATTAGGAATAATATTTGGGGGTGAGGGTGACACTGCTACAGCTCCTCTTCCCAGCAGTTGCCAGCGAGAGTCATTTGTTCAATAAGCATTTATTGAACATCTACTCTGTGCCAGGCCTTGCCGAGCACTGGGGACAGAGGCACGGATAGGACAGACATGACCCTGACCCGTGTCAAGCTGAGACCATTTGGCCACATGGCAGGGTGTGTGTGTGTGTCTCAGACCTATGGTCCACATGCCCTGGATGCTGCCTCAGATCCTGGGCCTCCTTCCTCATCTTTCCTGGAACATTAAACATCCCTGCCTCAGGGCCTTTGCACTTGCTATCCCTTCTGACAGGACATTTCTCCCTGCTACCCACAGGGCTCACTCCCTCACCTCCTTAGGTGTTGGCTCAAATGTCACCTCAGAGAGGCCTTCTCAGACCACCCCATCTAAAATAGTACCCCCTTCCCTGCTGTTACTCTCTCTCTTCTGAGCCGGTTTTATTTTTCTTCTCAGCCCTTAACCTGATGTTATATATTTACAGGTTTATGAATCTGCCTCTCCTGCTAGAATGTAGGCTCTGCAAGGGCAGAGATGTTTTATGTTCATTCATTTCTGTGGCTTCAAGCACTCAGAAGCCCTCAAAAAATATTTACTGAATGAATGAACAAGTGAATAAATGAATGAATGAATGAATGACAAGTGGAGCAAAAAAGTGTATTGGTCCCAGGCTAGGAGGGTCTCTCCCTCAGGCCGAGCCAGTCTCCTCACTTGCTGATGAGGGGGTCCTGAGAGGGGAAGGGACTTGCCCAAGGTCCCCCACAAGTGACCAGCAGGGCCAGGATTACAGCACAGGCTCCACCTCCCAGCCAGGGCTCTTTTAGCGGCTGTGCCATCCCTGGGGCAGGATGTTTAGGCCCATACCCCCTCACCTGGGTCAGAGAGCACGCAGCTGCCTTGAATCCCAAGGCCTTCACCATCGACACTGGGATCCCAGATCTTAATTTGCCTGAAATAACAAATGTGGTCAGAGACAGGTGGGCCTGAGGTGAGACTGGACAGCCATGGGCGGGCTCACAGCTCCTGGAGGGAAGACCAGGACCTGGCATGTCCAATTTGGACTGTCCCCTCTGCCTCTGTCCACCTATTACTGGCCCCAGCACCCACCCAGCCCCATCTCCCCACCCTTTGCCGCTGGCACTGGCTTCTGGCTGCTCACAAACCACACCTGTCATGTCCTCCCACACTCCTGCTCAAGAACCATCAGGGGCTTCCATCATCCACAGCAGAGGTTTCTATACTTTGAGATTTCCCACTCTAATAAAATAAAGAAATTAAAAAGGCAGGGCTGATATAGATTACCAACTCTACCCACCCTCACGACCTAAGCCTTAATTGGAGTAATTCCACCTTCTCTCTCAGTTTTCTCTACTAGTGACACAAATGACATACCAACGACAGCAATGGCTGGAGAAATGCTGAACACTGACTGTGCTGAACTATCCTCTGTGGATTGATCCACACAAACATCCCCTCATTTGTGCCTCTGACAAAGGTACTCTTATTTCTCCATTTTATAGATGGAGAAACTGAGGCTTAGGAGGGTTAGACAGCTTGTCCAAGGCCAGGCAGCCAGCGAGTGGGGGAACAGGACTTGAACCCAGGCCTGCCTGAGGCATCTCGAGTGTGTTCTGGTTGCCTGTTTACACCTCTGTCTCCTTCCCGCTGTCAGCCCTGTGAGGCTGGGGTGCTGCCTGGCTTATCTTGGCATGCCTTAGTCCTGGCTCTAGTAAAGGATGGGAGAGGTCACTTCCAGCTGGGTGACTGGGAAGGCTTCCTAGAGGAGGCGGATTTTGGACTAAGCTCTAAAGTATGCCTAGTTCAAAAATGGAAAATGAATGAAAGGGACCCCAAATGGAGAGACGGTCAGGAGAGGTACAGCAAGGCCCTGAGGAGACAGTGAGGAGGGTCGGCAAAGGGACACACCATTCTGGTTTGGCAGCAGGATGGAGAAGAGGATCTCAGTGGTGATGTTTTTCAGGACTTCAGGCTGCGAGAGAGAAGGGCACTGTCAGCCTGGCTGAGAACCCAAAGTCTCCCCAGCCATTTGGGTGGGCTTGGCTCATTCACATGGTGAGGGCAGAGGTGGAGATGCTGGAATCCCAGGTCCCCTGCTGGTCAGAACTGTGAGGGCTCTGGGGACCAGACAGCCTGGGGCAGGGCATGAACTCAGCTGTCCCTGGGGTCTAGCAGGTGGTGAGATTGGGGTGCATCGGAGGATATCCCATCCTCAGGGGCTCCACTGCTCTGTGCCAGCTGAATTTTCTCTAAGGGAGTGAATTTGTCCTGCGTCGCCTGAGCTTTTGACTTCTTGAGGGAAGCCAGAAGTCTTAATTTTCATGTGGAAACCTCCCTGTTTTAAAATATTAGTCAAAAAAAAAAAAAAAATTAAAAAAACAAAACAAAACATAAAGACCAGAGAAAACACGGCAGAAGACAGGATTCAGCCAGCTCAAAACCTCTGGTTCAGTCTGACTCAGATTGGGAAACTGAAGACTGGAGAGAAAGGGGATCCCCAGGGTCACTGAGGTGAGTCTCCATGAGCAAAATGAGACTGTGAGTCAAGGAAATTTGCTTTCTAATTTAGGATCAAAGCTTCACTGAAAGAAAGAGAGAGTGTATCTGTGTGAGTATTTGTGTGTGTGAGTGTATGTGTGTTCTCAGCTGTGTCTGACACACAGTGGGTGCTCAGGAAATGTCTGAGCCAGGAGGTTGGACTTTGGTTGATAACTGGAGACCAGCGAGCCCACCATGGGGCTTCCATGGGGACTTTGTTCAAAGCAAATCCTGGGCAATGTCTCCTGTCAGAATGGACCATTGTGGGTCACTCCATTTGCCCCCAGGGACAATCTATTAATACTTACTTGGAACAGGCCAATACCCGAGTTCATTAGGTGGATCCGATCAGAACTGAAACAGAAGATGCTCGTGAGAATGGCCCCTTGGAGTCCTATTCATTCAACTATTCATTCATTCAACAACTATTTTTCGAGCACCTACTGTATACCAGGCACAGTGCAGGCTCTAGTGATGGAGAACCAGATAAAGCCCTTGCCTCATCTCATGGAGCTTACCTTCTAATGGGAAGGTTTGGGGTAGAGACAGAAAACAAATAGTGGTCCAGAGAGCAGAAAAATCCCCCCCCCCCCAAGTGAAGACTGTGGTTAACTAGGGAGCTCAGACTCCTTCTAAAGAGGGCATGCAAGTCCCAGCTCAAGTGTTTGTTGCTATGTAGGAATGTGGGCCCAGGGCAGACAATAGTCTGATTTTTATAAAAAAACCCCCCCCCCCCAAGTGAAGACTGTGGTTAACTAGGGAGCTCAGACTCCTTCTAAAGAGGGCATGCAAGTCCCAGCTCAAGTGTTTGTTGCTATGTAGGAATGTGGGCCCAGGGCAGACAATAGTCTGATTTTTATATGTTTGCAACTAATTTATATTTTAAAAACCCCAACCCTGTGTGCACTGATACAAACACATCCTCGGGCCTGTTTTGTCCCAGGAGGCTCTGGTTTGCAACCCCTGAACTCACTTGGGCAACTGGAGGTAGAGGGATGGGGGAGAGAGAACAAGCAGGGTGCAGCAGGCAGCTGGAGGCCTGTGCTTCTGTGCTGGGGTGACTGTCCCTGCCACTGTCTTGGAGGCGTCCGTGGCCGAGGGGATGGTGCTGGGCAGGCCATTCCCATGGCCAGAGTTTGCCTGCCCTCTCTTCCCCTTTCCCTCACATGCAGTCCTCATAGCTGGAGAGTCTGTCTAGGGAGCAGTCTTCACCCAACCACACACTGGGGGTTTAAGAAAACGAGCTCATTTTCACCCACAGAGTCTTCATGATGATTTACACATTTACCTGATTTCATTAAAGTTGAGCATAAGTTGGTCACCTTTTGTGTAAAACTGAGCTTCTGAACTGCTTTCCTGCAATGAGAGAAGCCCGGGCCCCATTCTCTTAAGAGGAGCATCAAGTGTGAGGGGAGAGGTTCTGCAGGGAGGCTTTGGGGTTGAGCCCACATGGTCCGAATCTTTGCTACTGGCTCTGTGACCTTGGGGAAGGGTTTGATCTTTCTGGGCCTCACTCTTCTCATCTATTAAATAGGATCATACGTGTACCCACTCCCCATTTAACAGATTGCAATACAGGCTTGCTGTGGGGAATGATGGTGATGACAATGATGATGAGACTGGCCAACACGCACGGAGCCTGCACTGTGTACCTGAGGTGTTATCAGAGATTTACATGGTTATCTCCTTTGATCCTCACAGCCCTATGAGGTGGGTCCTTTTATTACCCCATTGTAGAGGTGAGGACACTAAAGGACAAAGAGGATCAGAAGCCCCTGGTAAATGTTAACCACTGTTATTATTATTGGAAAGGCTGGAAGCTAAGCCAAGTGCCAAATACAGGGGCTCCAGGTGTGCATCACCTTGACCTCTGGGCTGGGGTGACCCTGAGGGCAGTGTGCTAGGATCCAGCTCCATTTCAGCTGTACCCAGAGAACAAACTTGTCCTGCAGGCCTGGGCTTGGTGGCCAAAGTGCCTGCTGTTGGCCATGGAGGGCCTGGGTCACCAGGTATAGAGGCTTGCCTGGGCAGTCCATTCCCAATATTGGTCAGGGTGGCTGGTTGGGGATCAGAATATCCTTTAATACAGGAATCCAGGGCTCCATGCTGAACAACTATGGGAGGCACCATTCATTCTGCAGTTGTGAAAGGCACCCCCTGAAACTGCATGGTGGACAACCTGCACAGCTGTACACAGTGACCCTGTTGTAAGGACAGTGTCAACATTAGCCTCCTACCAAAAACCAGGTACTTTCCAGACTCCTTGGTTAAGCATGGAAAGCCTTAATTATCCAGTGTCCAACCATGAGTCTTGCCTCATGTCTTTTCTCCTTTATCCTCTGCAGAGGATGCGGCTGGTACCCACGCAGATGCCCTTTACAGGGTGGGGCATCCATCCCTCAGCTGCTGAGCATTGCCACTAGCAGTTCACAGCTGCCCCCCCTTTTTTTGGAGAATTGCCTTTGCTTAAATGGAGCTGCCTTGCTAGGAGATTATGTTTCCCCTACCCCTGGGGGCAGTTGGTGGCCAATGACTAATGCACAAGGGAGTACAAAAGGCCGGCCTTTTTGTATCAAAGTGGGCTCAACATGGTGCAATCCATGCTGCAGGGCTACTTGTGGGATCAAGTCAAAGCAAGTCCCCAGCTGAGACCACATCTTTGCTCAGACCTTCCCCTGATTCCTTCATGGCTCTTCCTTGAGCAATCTCCCCCAATAAGTCACTTTCATGAGAATCCTTGTCTCAGGCTCTGCTTCTAGGGGACCTACCTAGATGCCCTCCCACTAGGCTTGTCATTTGCTGACCCCCACCCCATGCCTTCACCCCCAGGTTCCCCCTAAATGGAAGCTAAATGAGATCTGACCTGCTGGGGTTACTGAGAAAATCAGTTAATAACTCTTAGAAATGATGTAGTTCTGCACAGTTTTCAGAAGAGGAACTCTCTCTCTCCCTCAGTCTCAGTGGCTTGGATGGAGTCAACCCCCACCCCCCTACTCTGGTGTGTGTGTCCCAGATCAGAAAATTTACTTTCTGGCCACACAGACTGATTTAGGAAGGGGCACATGACCCAAGCTCATTCAATGAGAGTCAGCCCTGAGACTTCTGCTGGAACTATTGGGAAAGAAAGGTTCTTCCTGCTGGGATTGCCAGGCTGATAGGATACAAGCCTGATGCAGCTTGGGTTACTTCCATGAGGAAATAGCTTGCCTGAGGATAAAGCACAGAAGAAAACCAGGCTGCCAGATGGGGTGAGAGAAGAATGAAGACAACATCCTTAAGTACCTGGATCTAGCTACTCCTGAAGCCAGTGCCATCTGGGCTTTTCAGTTATTTGAGCTGATACAATTCCTTTTGTGTATGTGAGTTGCATACACAATTCCTTATTGTGTTGCATATATAATTCCTTTTGTGCATGTGAATTGAGTTTATGCCCAAAGATCCCTGACTAATAAAGTCATAGGGTCACAGTTGGGCCCCCAAAACTCCTGACTCTTGGTTCAGAGCTCCACCTTCCCCACCCCTGCTGGGTGACAAGAGGGGTGGAAATGTTTAGCAAAGCAAGAGGGGTGAACAGGAACAGCGAGCTAGAGGGTCCCCAGGCTGCTGCCAATGTCACAGACAATTGAACTCACGATGCCCAGGGTGAAGAGGGGGCGGCGGGCTTCATTGGTGGGGAACACTTCCAGCGTGATCAGTTGGGCTACCTTGGCACTGCCCTGGCTCAGAAAGAGCTCAGGGGTCTTCATAGTTAGGACCTTCATGATCTGTGTGGGTCCCAGCTGATCTGCAGCCTGGAAAAACATCAGACCCACATTTGGCCTCCCGAGTGCCTTGCCATGGCCCCCAGGCTCCATGTGGCCCCATGAGGCCTGGCCCCTGCCCACCTTCCTGGCCTTCCTCCTTCCTCTGTGTTCCAGCCACACCATCCTTCTTGCAGATCCCTGAATGCATTGTTGTTCTCCCTGCCTGACAACCTTTGGTCTTCTGCTCCTTCTGTCTGGAATACCCTTCCCTTCAGGGAAGCCTCCTTGATCTCCACCACTATATCAGGTGCCCAGTAATGCTCTCATAACCCCTAGAACCTGTCCTTCATTACTACACCTGTAAAGGAAGTATCAACCGTATGATTATTCGACTCAGATCAAACTGCCCTGCTAGACTGAAATCTCCATGAGGACAGGGACCTGGTTTGAGTCCCTCAGTGCTGGAAGGAAAGAGAGTAGTCCCGCACATATTCTACTCCCCAGAGGCCCATGTACAGACCATAGCAAACACCCATTAAGCTGCAGATGGCAAATGGACCAACCTTTTCACTGATCACCTTGATGCTTGACTTCAGCTGATGAGCCAGCTCAGGAAGCTGAGGGTGAGAGGAAGCCAGAGCAGGTCAGCTGGAGGGGCCAGGGGAGGAACACTTCCTGCACCCCGCAGCTGGTATAGAGGCTTCCCAGAACCCCGAGAAAGCTGGGCCTAGTGGTCCAGGCCACATGTCTGTCACTGGTGGAAAAATAGCCCCTAGGTCAGCCATATGGGGCACCGGGTCCCAACTGGCCTGAACTTTTACTGTGGGTTGGTGGTAGTTGTGGGTCTGTGAGCAGCTCCCTGTTCCTAGAGGACATAAAGAAGTGACTCCAATTCTTACTGCAATCATAAATGTGATTGCTGGTGACCACTCCCCCTTTTCTTTCCATCCCAGCCCCTTATCCTGAGCTCCAGTCCCTAAGCGCTCAGTTATCTGTTGTCTGTCAGCTGAAGTTCTGACATCCTCCCATAACTTTGGGACAACCCCTTTCCCCTCTGGACCTTGGTTTCCCCATCGACCACCCCAGAAGAGGTAGCACAATCCAGTTGACTGGGGGTGGTTGTCTGCTGTGCTATGTTGACAAAGATTCCAATGTTGGGTTGGCATCCAGGCTCAGTAGAAAAGAGAGCCCTGATTGATTAGTGATGTCTGCCATGGGTCCCCTAGTGGTTAGCAACGGCACAATTGCATCTAAGATGACCTTTGGTTCCACAGGACTGTTACTTGGTAGAGAAACAGGTGCATCAGAGTTCAGAGGGCAGAACTAGGACCAGAGCTGAGGGCAGAACTAGGACCCAGGCTGGGTCCTGAAAACCTAAAGAGGTTTTCAGCTTTAGAGCTGTATGTCAGAGGCAGGGTCTGTTCGGGAAAGAGTGAGCTTTCCATAACTGGAGGGATTTAAACTGAGCCCGATAGTGGATTCCTGCTTAGGCACCTAGGGGTCATTCCACCCCCTTTGATTCAGCAAATTCTCATGATGCAGCAGAAGTGGTCCCAACCTCTGCCCCACACTGAGGCTTACCACATAGTCCAACAAGACAATGAGTTCTTTTGGAGGGAGCAAGGCAGCCACCACAGCATTCACCACATCCTGCCTCACGATGAGGCTGAATGGGGCACTGTCTAGGGTGGGCATCGTCAGGGAAGCCGCAGAGTTATTGAACAACTTGGTCACTGTTCCCTGTGAGTCCATCAACTTGGCCTGAGGAGACACAGAGCAGGAAGTGGGCTGAGAATATTGACTTCTTAGCTTACCCAACAACAACCTAGAAGGAAATGACACCATTCAGCCTATTTCCCTTTATGCATTTGTTGCCAGGAAGCTTAGCCTGGAATTCAGTGCACTGCTGTGGGCAGTGAGCTAGGTGCCTGGCAACATCTATTCCATTTGCATCTTTTAGAGAATCTCTGTTTTAACCTATATATCTTATTTTTCACTTACGTTTCAACTTCTTGGATACCTCAAACCCTCTAGATGAAGGGAAAATTCAAAACTGCATCAAAATGGATGAAACTGTTTGATGCTGCAGTTTTCCAAGGGACACATGAAAACTGGTCTGGGATTCATGCTATGCAGTTGGTCTGGACCCTCCAGGCGTCCAGCCCCAGAATGGCTGTGCAGCTTCACATGTTAGGGAGAGCTGACAGTTACTGGATACTTCCTGTCTGCCAGGTACTGCGTGGTTTCATTTTATCCTCTCCTCAGTGATCATTATTATTCCTATTTTACAGACAAAGGGAACTGAGGTTCAGAGTGGTAAAGAAACTTGCCGAAGGTCACACAGCCAGGGAGTTATGAAGCTGGATGAGAAACTTAGGTCTGCATGATCCTCAATGATGTGTCTCTATCCTGGGATCTTGTTTCAAGGTTGCCAGAGGTTTGAGGATTGGCAGGGGCTTGCCTGAGAGAAAGGCCAAGGGACCCAGTGCACACACTTGGGACCCTGACTGAGGAAATCAGGGTTGGAGGACAGACTCCCTGTGTGGATGTTCTCTGTGTGCCCTTAGGTTTTACCTTCTAGTCTTTCTCCTTCAGAATGGCTTGCATGGGATGTGTTCAGCCTGCTGTGACTTTTCTGAATCAGCCATGTATACTAGCTGTGACAGGGTTTTTTTGATACAGACTGTGGCATCTGACACTTGGTGGTCCTGTGACACTCACCTCCAGGTGGAGCTGGATGGCATTACCCTTGATGGCAGGAGATGGCAGGTCAAATTCTAGGCGGTGAGGGCTGAGGGAAATGGGCACTGCTCGGGGACAAGAAGAAAGTTCTGTGAGGACAGAGGGTGGTATTGGATGGGTGGTTTGGATGGTGCATTCAGCTGGAGCTTGGTTATTGCACGGGGTGGGGGTTAGGTAGGGAGGAGCAAGTAATGGTGATGTTGATTATAATGATGAAAATGATGGTAATGACGGACATTTATTGAACATATACAAAGCACCAGGCACCGTGCTAAACCTTTGCATTTGTTAGCCGATTAATCTCCACAATAAACTTAGGAAGCAGGTTCCATTACTACCCCCGTTTTACAGATAGGGAAGCCAGGCTCACAAAGGTGAAATGACTCGCTTAGGTCATACTATGAATGATTTGAACCCAGTCGGTCCTATGCCAAACCCAAACTGAACCACTGTTCCTAACTCCCCATCTTCCCCACCACACTGTAACCAGCACTCCCCACGCGGGCGTCGTCTGGGTTTGGACACCCATCCGGGTGTCCACCCATCTGGACACACAGCGGTGCGCACCCATCCCTGAGCCGCATCACAACTTGGGAATCCCCAGTTGGCTGCCAGGTGGCGGTGGCGTCTCATCTGCCCCGGCCGTAGGGCGGGAATGGGGACAGGGCGCGCAGGGGCGCTGCATTCATCGCTTGCTCGGGCTGCCTACCCCCCAGGGAGATTACCCGCCCTGCCCCTGGGGAGCAGAAGACCCAGACAGATTTTGTTCAAGTCCCATTGATCTTGGTTTTCTCGCCTCTGAATCTTAGTTTCCTCATCTGAAAAGGGGGATGTAATAGTTATTCCTGCTTCATGGACAGGACTGGCATCTAGTAATGGCCAAAAATGAATTACACCCACTTGAAACTGGAGAAATTGGATTCAGGTCTTCCCCTATCACTAATTTCCGCTGTGAGCTTGGACAAGTTACTGAATTGCTCTGAGCCTCAGTTTCCTCATACGGGAAGTGTGGTAATGATCGCTACGTCATGGAGTCGTTGGAGGAGACAGTGTACATAAAATACCCACTGTGAAGCCTTGGCCCAGAGTCGATGCTCGGTGGGCTCTCAGTGAGTATTAATTCCATCTGCTCTTCCCACTCCTCCCTGGTTGCTCTTTGAATGGGCCTCAGCAGATCCCATTTTCTTCTTCCCTGACAATTTCCAATCTGAGGGGTGTGAGTGAGTAAGGCAGATTTCCGAGGCTGCTGTTCTTGGACAGGGAGAATGACCTCCGTCCTGGGCACACATCTTGTCCCTTCCCTTGTTCTCTCTTCTCTACTAGCACCCAGTGGTCGCTGCATCATTTATTCATCCATCCATCCAGCACACATCTGTAAACGCTTCTACGTGCTTGGAACTTTCCTGTAAACTTTTAATCCTCACTAACAATCCTGTGAAGCAGGGATGTATAGGCCCCGTTTTACAGATGAGGAAACAGAATGAGGAGGTGGGGTGGCTTTCCCAGAGTCACGGAGCAAGTCAGTAACAGAGCTGGGATCTGGGGGCACCTGCTGCCCTCATATAGAACCTTGCACATAGTAGGTGCTCATGAAGTCACTCTCGTGGTGAATTCCTGTCTGCTCGTCCTGGGCAGGGATCCACCTGTGTTTGTCTTACTTGCTGCTGGGCCCCAGCTGCTGCTCAGGCCTGACTGGGGAGGCCTCTCCAGGTGGAGGCAGGACCTGAGGCTGGCCCTGCAGTGGAGGAAAAGGCGGGAGAGAGAGCAGAGCACCTACCCTTCACCAGCTGCAGGAGGTCTGCATACACGTCATCGAAGGCCTCCTTGATCACGGGACACAGCTGTGACAGCACAGATGCAGGCGTTCCATCAGCACAAACACAGCCCCACAGCGACCCATGCCAGGCCCACCGGCCTGAGTCTGCTTCTGTGCTTGTGGCCAGCCAGATCTTCATGCACAGGGTTGAGGACTCATGTGTGTCCACCCCCCTACCACCATCCCTGTTGCTCAGAGTCCCTTGCCCTGTACCCAGGGGGTGTCTGGCCTGCCAGCTGCCCTCCCCATCAGACTTCTTGTTTTGCTCACAGAGCCTGTGTTTCTCATCCCACAAGCCATTACTGAGTTCAGACTCTAGAACAGAGGCCAGCAAGACAGACCCTACCAGACTCCTGAGTAAGCTCTTTGGGCCCTTTGTGGGTTTCCTACCCCAACACATCCCTTGGCCCACTGAGCCATTCCCTTCTGAAAATTACAGTGGTTCTCAGGGGGTGGGGGTGGGGGGCGATTTTGTTCCCCAGGAGACATTTGGAAATTTCCGGAGACATTTTTAGTTGTCACTACTTGGGGGTTGGGGGGAGATGAGGGTGTTATTGGCATCTAGTGGATAGAAGCCAGGGATGCTACTAAACACCCCACAATGCACAGGACAGCCCGCACAACAGAATTATTCAAAAAATATCACTAGTGCCAAAGTTGAGAAACCCTAGCCTAACCTAACCCTGGCCTCACCATTCTACTTAAGAAGGAGGTTAAACATTTGACTTGCTTGTCTGTGGGACCCGAAGGCCCTGTTCTCTGCTTGGAGGCAGTCCATTTTTGAGGGCAGTGCACCAAGATTGCGAAGGTCATTTTTTCTTAGGGACAATTGCCCTAGTGGAAGAACCTTCTAGTTGACCACCCCTTAATACTCTTGAGGAATGACAATGTATCTTGAGAAGTGTTAACCTTTTCTGTGAATAACCGTTCCCTGCTCCAAGCTGCTTTGCCAACCCAGAGCGAGAGTATGGAGGAATCGGCTCAGAGACTCCCAGCATGGGCTGCCAGGGGACCACCTGTTCCTCTCAGGAACGGTGTCCCTGGCAACCTCTGTATTTTCTCCCACAATTCCCCATCTTTCATTTCTACCAGTGGGTCCCAATCTTGGCTACACATTAGAGTCCTCTGTAGTGCTGGGGGCCTGCCCAGACCAATTACATCCAAATCTGGGATGGGGCCAGACATCAGTCTTTTTAAAAGCCTTCTTAGCTTCTGAGATTCTGATGTGCAGCTGGGGTTGAGAACCACAATTCACACTTGAAAACGGCTTCGACATTTTCTAAATTAGTTCCTGCCAGACAGACTCTCACCTCTTAAACATCTGGTGCCTTTTCCCTCCCTGCCAAATAAAATATTCGTATGACTATTGTATCAAATCCAGTGAATTATGGTGGCAAACCATATGATAAATGGAATGACAGTTTTCTTACATTGTTCTCTATATTTGGCTTTTCATCCTTAAAGACAGGTCTATGCAAAGAGCATTGTATAATTCCAATCTCCTGCCATCTTTTCTAGTGAAAAATATATTTTTAGCTATTAAAATATGAGAGTACTTCAAAATGTTCATGGAAGAATTTGTGTTATCTTTTAATTCTATTTTTCCATGACTTTTTTTGATGTACCCTCATATGATGCCAGATAAAATATGATTTTGCTGGAGTCTGGAAAAAAAATTTACAGATGGGCCCTACTTTAAGAAATTCCCACCTTTAAGGGGCTGGCCCATGGCTCACTTGGGTGAGCGTGGTGGTGACAATACCAAGTCAAGGGCTAAGATCCCCTTACTGGTCATCTTTAAAAAAAAAAAAAGAAAGAAATTCCCACCTTTAAATAGAAAAAGAAATTTCTTCAAAGAAAAAAATAGCTTATGTAAGAAAAGCTCAATTTTATAAAATTATTTCACTTCCAGATTTTCTTTAAAAAGCTCCCTGGGTATGTAGCTTTGCTAACCGGTAGCAGTCCCAAAATTCTGACAATAATAAGCCGTTGTCTTATCTTTGATATTACACATTCGTATTTATTTGCATTCATTCCCTCCCCTCTCCTCTCACCTCCCTCTGTCTCTCCTCACCTTTTCCAACAAGGTGTTGGAAACAGGTTGCCTACATTGTACTAAATCAGTATTGCTTCTTAAATTAACCTTTTTAAAATGTCATTTGGCCTTTACTTAGTTTTCGATTATTCACTTATTTCCCTGGTCTCTTTAATATGCAGATATTCAGTCTATTAAAATAATAGATCTTCCTTTGACTAAATATGATACTCAAACTTTACTAGTGCAGAAGCAGAAGTTGAAAATCTTAGCCCTGACTTAATAAAAAATCAAATACATAATTCTGTATTGTATGGTTGATATATAATTTCACAAAATGGAGGTGAAATGTTTTACTGTATTTTTCTTGAAAGTAAGGGAATTTCTGAGTTGGGTGCTAAATCCAGACATTACTAAAAATTAAATTATGTAAACTTACAAATAAATAAAATATATTAAAAACAAATTTAATAAAAACTTAAAACTCATTGCTTCCTAATTATTTTGCTGTGTTTTACTGTAAACTATTTTCTCTTGGGGTTATGTCTATTGTATCTGTTTGGTGGAAATACTGTATAATACTGTGCTACTCTTTCCAATTCTGTTGAGTAGCATTACATTGGTAGTCTAAAATTGGCCCTGGAGGGAGTATTTACAGTAGGGAAATCAGGACAAGCTTCAAATCAGGATTCCTTCCCCTCAACCCCTCCAGAGACAATTGTTGAATTATTTATCAGCACATCTGATAAACGATTTCAGTAAAGTTGCAGGCTACAAAATCAACACGCAGAAATCAGTAGCGTTTTTATACTCCAAAATGAACTAGCAGAAACAGAAATAAAGAAAGCTAGCTCATTTGTGGTAGTCACCAGAAAAACAAAATACCTAGGAATCAATTTAACCAAGGATGTGAAAGATCTCTGCAGTGAGAATTACAAATCACTGCTGAAAGAAATTAAAGAGGACACAAAAAGATGGAAAGACATTCCATGCTCTTGGATTGGAAGAATTAACATTGTGAACGTGACCATACTACCCAAAGAGATATACAGATTCAATGTAATCCCCATCAAAATACCAATGACATTCTTCACAGAAATAGAAAAAACAATCCGAACATTCATATGGAACAACAAAAGGCCCCAAATAACCAAAGCAATCCTGAGCAAAAAAAAAAAAAAAAAAGCCAGAGGCATTAACACTACCCAACTTTAAATTATATTCAAAGCTGTAGTAACCAAAACAGCATGGTACTGGCATAAAAACAGATTCTCGGACTGATGGAACAGAATAAAGAATCCAGAAATCAACCCACAAACTTACAGCCAACTGATCTTCAACAAAGGCACCAGGAACATATGTTGGGGAAAGGACAGCTTCTTCAATAAACACTTCTGGGAAAACTGGACATCCACATGTAGAAGAATGAAACTAGACTCGTACTCCTTACCATATACCAAAATCAACTCAAAATGGATTAAAGACTTAAATAAAGACCTGAAACTATAAAATGCCTAAAAGAAAACCTAAGACAAACACTTCAGGAAGTAAGACTGGGCAATGACTTTATGAATAATACCTCAAAAGCACAGGCAACAAAAGAAAAAATGAAGTGGGATTATATCAAACTAAAAAGTTTCTGCACAGCAAAGGAAACAACAGAGTAAAAAGACAACCTACAAAATGGGACAAAGTATTTGCAAACTATGTATCTGACAAGGGCTTAATATCCAGAATACACAAGGAACTCAAACAACTTAACAGTAAAAAAACAAGTAACCTGATTAAAAAATGGGCAAAGGAGCTGAATAGGCATTTCTCAAAGGAAGACATACAAATGGCCAACAGAAACATGAAAAAATGCTCAGCATCACTAAGCATCAGGGAAATGAAAATCAAAACCTCCTTGAGATATCATCTTACCCTAGTTAGAATGGCTATTATCAAAAAGACAGAATAACAAATGCTGGCGAGGAAGCAGAGAAAGGGGAGCCCTCCTACACTGTTGGTGGGACTATAAATTAGTGCAGCCATTATGGAAAACAGTATGGAGTTTCCTCAGACAACTACAGATAGATCTTCCATATGATCCAGCAGTACTGCTGCTGAGTGTATACCCAAAGGAATGGAAATCATCATGTCAAAGGGATACCTGCACTTCCATGTTTATCACAGCTCTATTTACAATAGCCAAGAGTTGGAACCAACCTAAATGTCTATTGAGGAATGACTGGATAAGGAAAATGTGGTATATACACACACTACTCTGCCATAAAAAGAATGAAATTCTGCCATTCAAAGCAACATGGATGAATTTAGAATTATGTAATGTGAAATAAGCCAGGCACAGAAAGAGAAATAGCATGTCATCACTCATAAGCGGGAGCTAAAAAAATAAACAAATAACTAAAAAAGAAAGATACAACAATCACAATAATATGTTGAACTTTTAAAAGAAGAGACCAGAACTGAGGTTACCAGAAGTGGGAAAGGGGGTGGAGGGCTTAGTGAGAAATTGGTAAAGGGCACCCCAAAATGATTACATTGTGTAATGGTAAATATAATAATCATCGTGACTTGATCACCACATACTGTACACAGGTACTGATATTCAACTCTGTACCCCACAGATATGTACAATCAATTATGTTTCAATGAAAAAGAAAAAGAAAAAAAAAATTTATCAGCACATCACTGTTCAAGACCTCCTGGCTGACTTTTGGCAGTTCCATTACCTTCACCTCAATGATCTGCCTGAGTCAATGGCCCAATCTATTGCTCTTTGCTTTGCTGAAAGAATTATCAAGCCGCAGAAGAATCCCACCAAGGAGACACAGGTACCTTAGTACTATCTTGCAGTTCCACCCCAGCCCCACAGGGGGAGCAAACTTCACAGGCCAGAGAGGCCCTGATTCCACTCACCTGGGTTTTCACCAGTTTGGGCAGGGCTGGCACTAGGAGGCTCATGACCTTGTTGGATAAGGAGTTGACCAGAAAGGAGAGTCTTCCAGAGAGGCAAGTGAGAAAGAGATTAGGAAGTGTTGTAGATGATCCCCCCCACCCCCATTTTACAGATGGGGAGACTGAGTCCAGAGGAGGAAGGAATTTGCCCAAGTCACATGACCTGTTAGAGATAGCACTGGGAGTAGACCCTGAGCCAGGTGTATACAGTGGCAGAGTTCTCAGGGTACAGGAGCTGGATGTTGTCTTTGAAATCTGTGTTGAGCATGGGGATGATGGGAGCTGGCATTTGTGACCATCCCCCTGCTAAGGAGAAGTGAAGGGAGACACCATGTTTTTGAGCACCTGCTGTGTGCCATGCAGTATTCTGAGTGCTTTATTGCTGTTGCCCGATCAAATCCTCTCACTGCTGCCTGGAAGGTGTCATCTCCTGTACTTTACAGACGAGGAAGGTGAGACAGGGAGGTGACTTGCCCAACATCACCCAGATGGCACATGAAGGTGATGCCTTTGCCTGACTCCAAAGCCTTTGCTTCCCCCATCACTCCACCCAAGGCTGTCTGGAGTGGTTGGAGGGGTCCTAGGAATGAGGATCCTCTCCACCTTCAAATGTTTGCCCCACCTCTTGCCATCCTGCCTGAAATCCCACTGTTATTCCCTCCACCCTTGGTGTCTTGAGCTTTCTTTGGCATCACAGATTCCCTGGAAGGATCCGCAAATCAAGAACCAAGAGAGATAAGTCCCTTTCTTTCTGTAGGCCTCAGTGTTCTGCATCTGTAAAATGGGGGAAGATCACCACCTGTTTCCCTCGTAGGCATGGCAGGAGCTCAGTGTGCGGCTGGCTGCACTCACGTACGCAGCAGGGTGATGCGCAGGCCCCCGTGGTGAGCGGAGCAGTCCCTGAGGACGAGGCGGGTGGGGCCCCTCTCCCTGGTCTCTACGCGGATGAAGGCTTGGACCTCAGTCTCCATGTGTATCTTCACAATGGTCTTGACCAGGGGCCTGGGGGCGGAGGCATCCGACAGTGTGAGCGCCTCCCAAGCTCAGGGAGTGGACAAACCCGCTGTCCATCTCCGTCTCCGGCTCTCTCAGCTCCTCAACCTCCTTTTCTGGTTTCTCCTCCTCTCCCCAACTTCTTTACCCCAGCATGTCCCAGGCTCAGTTTTTGGATTGCTCTCCAGGTTTAAATCTCTTCCATATGCCAACAGCTTCCAAACTTCCACCCAACTCCCTTTTCGTATGTCTTACAGGCATTTCAAATTTAACATGTACAAAACCGAGCTCTGCATCATCCTCCAAAGCCGCTTCTCTCATGGCCTTTTCTGTCTTGCTTGCCGGCCACTCCGTCTGCTGGTTGTGCAGGCAAAAACCCTGGAGTCATCCTTGGCTTCTCTCTCTCTCTCTCTCTCTCACCCCCACCGCCCACATTCAATCCAGCAGGATAATCCTGTTGTCTCTGCCTACCTCCAAAACATGCCCAGAATCCAACCACTTCTCACCAACTTTCTGCCCCAAACCCTGGTCTAAGCCATCACTGTCTCCTCCTGACTTGTGGCAGTAGCTCCTGGATGGCCTCCCTGCCTTCACTCTTGTCCTCACACAGCCGTTTTCCCTACAGCAGTCAGTGGGATGCTTTAAAAATGTTAAGCCATGTCATGCCCCTCCTCTGCTCGGAGCCTCCATGGCTCCCGTCTTACTTGGTAAAAGCCAAGTCCTTACTTTGGCCCTCAAGGCCTTGCACGATATGGCCTGGCTGCCTGTTGTCCTCATCTCCCTCCACTCTCTCCCTCTCCCTCCCTTCTCTGTCATTCTTTGAGCGAGGCAAGCACACTCCCGCATCAGGGCCTTTGCACTTGCTCCTCTCTCTGCTTGGAACTCTCTATTCCAGATGCCTGCATGGGGTAAGGGGGATGCAGATGAGCCTGTCAGGCTGCTGTGCCTGACTGAGGGCACACTCACGTGCTGAATCCGGATACCATGTCCAGGGGGATCTTGACTACCAGCTCCTGGTCATTGGCCGAGGGTTGCACCTGCAACTGGGGGATGTTAGCTGAGATGACCTTCAGCCTGGATGGGATTCAGGAAAGATGAGAATCATGCCTCATGCTCAGCTGAGCACCACCCCCAAGTCTGCTTCCACTCCACCTTTCCTGCCACCCCCTGGTGCCTGGTCAGCAACTAGACCCCAATCCCTGTCCACTGACTCCTCTCCAGCATGACCTTGTCCCCATCCCTTCTCTCCACCCTTGATCACAATACTGTGACAGTTCCTTCTCTTTTAGGAGCTAAATCTCAACTCCTTGGGCTGACTTGTAAGACCCTCTGTGACCTGACCCTGCAGACCTTTGCTCCTTGCCTTGAAGTTTGCACTCTGGCCATTCTGACCAATTCCCACTCCCTATGCCTTTGCCAAGGCTGCCCCTCTACCAGGAAGACCATTGTCTTCTTGGCTCCTTGTGAGCATTGTCACTGGCTCAACTGTCACCTCAACTGAGAAACATTGCCTCATCTCCTCAGTCTTCCACCCCAGATGGCCTTCCTCCAGGCTCGCCCTTGTTAGGGTTCTTTCGTCACTATCTTATAGTGATTGTTAACCACTCTGGGAGCCGCTTGAGGGAGGGGCTTAGTTTAATCCGTTCTTCACAGTCAGGCACAGAGTTGATGCAAACTAATGTTCGTTGACTGATGGAACATGCAAAGTATGTCCTGGGCAGAGGTGTGGGGAAGAGCTAACTCCCGACATTGTCCCGCTGCACTTACCAAATGATAGCTTTCAGTCCAGTGTTCACCAGGCTGCCTAGCTGGGGGAAGCCTGTGGTGCACATCTCCTGTATGGCACTGTGCAGTGGCAGCTGCTGCAGGATGGCAGTGGCATTGTGGTCCTTCAGCTCCTGTGTCAGCTCTGGAGGCAGATTCCAGGGATTAGATTGAAAGATGGCTTGGTGGGGGCTCCAGGCTGGGGAGGGCCATCACTCAGGGCTCCTCAGACCCTGGTGTAAGGGGAGGGTATGACCATCTCCACTGTGTAGATGTGCCCTTGAGGGTGGTGGCCCAGATGGATCATTTTCACATGAGGAGTGAGGCTGGGGCATGGGTGGGGCCATTCACACCCTTAGGAGTGTTGGCCAGTATCCTTAGCACCCCTCCCACCAGCCAGCAGCCAACACCTCCAGAGCTGAGAGGCAGGAAGCCCACAAAGCCCTGTTTGGGGCTGCTTTGGTGCCAAAGCACATTTGCTAACACTTCTCTGGCATACACGTCCTATGGGCCTGTCATCTGAAGAGCCTCAGGTGCTGAGCAGAGGAAGGCAGAGCCAGGGATAGAGGCCTATGAGTCGGGAACCCTGGGTTCTGGTCCCTGACAGACTGGTTACTAGCAGCCAGAGCGCCAATGGCTTGTGGACAGAATGGGTTGGAGGTGCCAGAGAGCTGATGGCCCAGGTGCATCCCTCAGCCGATGACTGACAGGAGTTGGTGTATAAACACCTCAGCTCCCTCAACCCTTGGGCAGGATGACTCAGATGTGTGTCCCCCACTGGGCTGCAGAGTTCCTGTGTTATTGCCTCAGTCAGAACCCACCCATTTTGCCTGCTCTGTGATAATGGAGCTGGGCCCTGTAAACATTTCCTCCTTACCAGTTGGCACAATGTCAAGACCTGTTGGTAGGGCACTCCAAGGGCAGCAAGTGAATTCTGCAGGCACCCTGGATAACTTCCAGGCAGTTTGCCAGAGCTGGCTTCCCAGTGAGTTAATAGCAGCACACTTCCTCTTGGGGCAGCTTCCCAGAGAATGTCATTGGCTCCCTGGTAGGCAGCTCTTGGCTCCCTAGACTCTGCTTGTCAACTGTGAACCAGCTCTGGCCTCGGACAACCCAGCAAACTTCTACACCATCCAGTGGGCTTCAACCACACCCTCCCCAGTGAGGCCTGGGGAGGGTTCTCTGCCTCTGAGTTTGTTCTGACTTTGGATATCTCCTCCATCCCTAGGGTATCCTTTAGAGTTTTCTCTTTTTAGCCAATTCCCCATTTCTGTAATCTCTGATAATAGCTCTTTATACTAAACTTACCTGTTGGGATTACTGTATGGTTTCTGTCTCTTGATTGGCCCTAACTAATGCAGTTGACTGGCAGGACTGAGCTCCAGTCCCCACAGTGGAAACGCACCCTTTATGGGCTGCCTCCCCTAACTCAATTTGTCTCCTGTCTTCTCTTGCAGGTGCTCCAAAACCAACTACCTGCATGCAACTCCTTAACCCATATTCTGCTACTGGGAGAACTTAAACCAGGATTGCTCATGTCCAAGCTCCTTTGGGCTGAAATTCCATGTGCTTGAGATTCTCAGTGTGGGCCCCGGGCCCCAGTGCCCATCCCCCTCCCCACCAACCTCCCAGAGCTCTTTGCTTCCTGTCTCTATTTAGGGATCCATCCTCTGGTTACAGAGCCCATTGACCCTGTAGGACCTTGCCCTGCCCTGCCCCTCTGGCCCTGGCCCAGTGCCACTAAATGCAGAGTCCAGTCCTCCAAGTGCTTCAGATTGTCCTCCAGAGCTGCCCTCTCAGAGGATGACATTTTAGAGCAGTGGTTCTTAAACAGGGTGATTTTGTCCTCCGGAAGACATTTGGCAATGTCTGGAGACACTTTTAGTTGTCACAGCTGGGTTGAGAATGCTGTTAAACACCCTACAGTGCACAGGACAGCCCCCTACAATAAAGAGTTATTTGGCCTGCAACATGAGAAGTACAGCGGTTGAGAAGGCCGGCCATAGCTTTCACCAAGCTCTTGTCAGTTTCTGTACTATTGGGGCTCCTCATGACCCGTGAGGATGACCCTCTTATTTGTATCCAGAGGAGGAAGCTGAGGCTCAGGGACTTGCCCAGCGTCACAGAGCTGGAGAGTGATACAGCTATGCCCAGGACCCAGGTCACCAGACTCCTAGTGTAGGGTCTTTGCTCAGGGGATTAGGAGCAAAGGTCAGCCTCACTCAAAGGGTGCTCTGATGATGGGGTTTCAGGCAGGGCCATTGGGAGAGGCAGGTGCATCATTGCACACTGTGGCCACACACCCCTCTGCAGGCCACAGAACGTCAGTGTAGTGGGGTTTTGGAATAGTGGGATTTAAGAAGAAGGGAATCTTGGAATCATGGGCTCTTGAGATCATAGACACTCCAGCCTTTATAAACAATTCACTCATGTATCATCCAAGTCCTGGGATCCCAGCCATGCCTTACACACCCCCAGTGATGGGGAACCCCCTCCCTCCTTTGGAGGGCTGCTCCACCTGCCCCTTCGCCCTATGTTGGTGAGTCCTGGGGGACCAAGACTTACTTTCTTTGACGACTTCTGGGCCAAGTCTGAGAACCACAGCGGGGCTGAGAGTGGCTTGGACCAAGGTGGCTGCCAGCAAGCCACAGAGCAAGGTGAGTGTCCGTGGGCTGGCCATCTTCTTGGGTGTCAGTGAGTGGCAGGTGGCAGGTGGCAGAACTGGGGAAGGCACAGAGGGCCCTGCTAGCCAGGCAGAAAGGCCAAGGGCAGGCCCACAGCACCAGGTGACCTGGGGCATGGCGTTCAGGAGAGGCCACTTAGTGCAGTGATTAACTGGCAGGGGCTAGCTGTGTGACTTTAGACAATCAACTTAGCCTCTCTGTGCCTTAGTCTTCTCATCTGACAAATGTGCATAATCACCCCTACCTCACAGAATTGATTGGATTAAATGAGGTAATATATCTAGAAAGCATTTAGCATATTGCCTTTCACATGGTAAATCCCTGGAAAATATTAACTATATTCTTACAGAAAACCTACCAACAACGCTCAGGTTTGCTGAGTGCTTCCAATTTGCCCCACCCCATCAGATCCTCTGTAGTCCAGCCTCAGCCAACCTCACCTCCTGCTTTCTCCCCTCTTGCTCTGTAAAGTTCCAGCCTTTTCAAGCTGCTAGAAGTTCCCAGAACATGCTCTGTTATTTCCTGTGTGTGTGTCTCTTGGCCTTTGACCTTACCCTTCCTGCTTCCTGGAAAGCTTTTCTCCTTCCTTACCTGCCTGCTGAGTTCCTATTTATCCTTCAAAATCCTGCCCAGGTTTTCACTTTGTAAAGCTTTCCCTCTCCTGTAACCAGAGACCCTGGGCCACACGTGGAGAAATTTTGTCCTGGAGTCCGAGACAGAAGGTTTGGAGGCAGGAGGGAAATGAGAATTCAGGTAGGACTCAAAGTTAGGGAAAAGCTCTTTGCTTAATCTGCAATCCTAAGAAGCCTGGGGCGGCAGTGGGTGGCTTCTTGGAACCAGAGAGAGGAAGGCAGAGACAGAAAGAAAGAGATCTGTGGGCTCTTCCTGGGCCCACAGGAAGCAGGGGCAAAGCAGCCACACTGTAACCCAGTCCTGAACTCTCCGGCTTACACCCTGGCTCTGCCTTCAAGTCCCCTTGAAAGCTTCTGCTCCCTTTGGACTGTCCTGCTTGGAGGCAGCTGAGATGCTGACCCAGAGACCTGAACCTTTGGTTGGCTCAGAATGTGGGTTTCTTATTACCAAAGAGAAATGTGGCATCTGGGTGACATGCATCTCCTGTGGGCTGGAGCAGTGTGAACTCTTCTGTGGCACTTGCAGCGATTCAACCTCTGCCTCCCTGACCAGGTTGTGAGCTCCGGGAGGGAGAGCTGGGTCTGCCTGCTCCCCACTGTGTCCGCTGTACCCAGCGTAGTGCCTGGCACATAGCAGTGCTTAATAAATGGCTGCTGAATGAATGGATGGCCTCAGGGAGCCCTGGAAGAATTTGCAATCTGAGCCTACTAAGTGGAGGAGGTCTGGGCCATGGGGACCACTGTTACCACCCAGGGCCCCCATCCCTTAGTGTCAGGGGGCCTGAGGGTGGAGGGCAGTTATCATGGGCTTGGGAGTCAAATGGACCTGAGTTGGAATCCTGCCTCTACCTGGCTCTGTGATCTTGGACAAGTGACTTACCCTCTCTGAGCCTCATCTTCCTTATCTGTAAAATGGAGGATTATTATGATACACTCACCACTTGGTATGTCACCTCCTGGCCTTTGTTTATGCTGTTCCCTTTGCATGGATGTTTTTCTCTCCTCCTTTGCCCAGGCACTTACTACTCAGCTTTGCAACCATGTCACCTCTTCCAGGAAGTCTTTTCTGACTGCCTTTACTACTGTGTCCCTTGGCCTTCCTTGAGTGCTCACTGGCCCACACTGGGGGTTCCTCGAGGGCCAGAGACTGTGTCTGATGCTTTTTTTTGTCCCCAACATCACCCCAGCACAGACTGGACATAGAGCAATCAGTGTGTGAGGAGTGGGTTTGTGGCATTAGGATGAGGTCGGGAAAAGACTCCACCAGCCCCGTGCCTTCATCACCACTCTTTGGTCTTCTGGGCAAGGGAGCTGGGCACCTTTCTACCTTTCCACCCTGATCCTCAGAGGGTCCTGGTTGATTGAGGGGGCCAAGCTCCTGACCTGACCCCAACAGGTATCTCTAGCTCAAAACCTTTCTGGCAACCCAGGTTTTTGGCCCTTTGCCTACACTTTTACCTGGACACGCAGGAGTCTTCGGCCCACTTGTCTGCTCTCCTGGGCAGTGGGTCTGGAAGTCCAGCTTTATATCCTGCACACCCCAGCCTGGGTGGCCACACTTTGCATTTGGGGCGAGGCCTCAGGCTGGGCCAAGGTCTCCAAGGTAAATATTTGTGGCTCCTGGTGAACCACAGCCCCATCCGGAAGTAGCCTTGGTACTCCAGCTTCCTGAGATTTGGAGAAAGAAGGGTCCAGGCTGGCATGAGAGATGGTACTGGGTATCTGGCAGGGGAGCTGGATCAGGCATGATGTGAGCTGTGCAGGGGACTCCCTGCCTGCTGGGCAGTCATTCCCATGGGACAACAATGAGAACAGTAGTGTGATGATGAATTAACACCGATGATGTGACAGGAGTCACCTGGGTTTTACATCAGCTATGTTGGTGGGCCTCACGCTCCCCCCCCCGAGTCAAGGTCAGGTTGTTATCCTGACTTTACTAATGAGGAACCAGCCTCACACAGTCAGCAAGTGGCAGAGCCAGGATTCAAGTCAGAACTCTGACTTCAAAACCCATCTGGGGATGTCTCCATGGCTTGGCAGATGCGGGGTTGTCATGGGACAGACTGGATTTAAGTCCTGGCCTCACCAGGGCTTAGACAAAAAGGTTCATAACCTTTCTAAGGCTCAGTATTTTTATCTGTGAAATGGGAATACCTACCAATAGCACCTACCTCCTCAGTGCTGAGAGAAACACAGTGCATATGGCTTAGAGAATAGGTCCCGGCACAGGGTAAGTGCTCAGTAAATGTGAGCAGTTGTTGCTGTTGTTATTATTATTAACTATTACTATTGCTGTTGTTAGTATTATTGCATGTAACAGAATGAGTCTTTGTAGAGTGGTTTTGATAATAATTTAGTCCAGATAATTAACTTTGGAAAAGGAAGGAATAGTCTCGCCCATCCTTTATTCCTAAATGCATTCAAGGATACACATCTCCATTAATTAATTCACTTGACAGAAGAGGTTTGAATCCCATTTTTGCCCCTTCACTGTGTGACTCCAGGCAAGTTACTTCACCTCTCTGGGCCCCATTGACCTCATCTGTAAAATGGGGATAATAATAGCACCTCTTCACAGGCTGCTAAGAGCAGGAACTGAGGTGCATGCCCACACCGCATTAGCACGTGTTTTCATTCATTCATTCTGCAGCAATTAGCACGCACTCTACCTTGTCTGCACTTTCAGGAATCTCAGTGGACATTTGTGGAGTGAAAGAAGAAGAGGCATGACCATGAACAAAGGAGACAAATGTAAACAACCCAGCAGGGCTCCCCTAAGGACCCAACCCCCTGGGCACAGGCCTTGGCTTACTTAACCTGCACAGTCACCCTGAGGTGGGTATCAGCAGCCCTGATTTTACCAAGGGCATCTGATGCTCAGGGAGGTGAGTGGCTTGCTCAAGGTCACATGTCCACAGATGCCAGAGTTGGAACTTGAGCCCAATCGTCTAGTCCAGACCACACACTCTTACTCACCACACTGTCCTTCCACAGTTACTCCAGGTTACTGTTGGGGGCAATGGTGACACAAACATGGCCTTTTGGTGTAATCTGGGGAAAGATCTTTGCTGCTCGACTTCAGTCTAGAAGCATGGAATTGTGGTTTAGATCTGGGAGGGCCATTTTGAATCCTGTCTCCATCTACAGGGGGACAAGAGAGGATGAGTGCATGTCCTGAGGTCACAGATTGTGTGGTCAGGTCCCAGCTGGTCTCCTAGCTGGTCTCCTCTTCCTAGTGTTGCCAAAAGGAACCAGCTTTGCCATCCTGCCAACCTGTCATGTTTGCAAATGCCCTAACACCTAGGGCATTTGAGGGCCCAAACACCTAAGGCGAGATGCTTTGGGAGCCAGGAGGACTCCTGGGAAGGACCCTGCCACTCCTTCAGGCACATCTCCAGAGAGGCATACAACCCCTCCTGGGCTCTCCAGCTGGCCATGCCTGCTGCCTATGGACAATGCCCCTCTGTGGGGGTGCTGGAGCCTCATGCCAGGCCAGGATCATGTCCGCTCCTGCTTCCTGCCTCTCAGCCTGACCCGCGCATGGGTCAGCAAGCAGGGTTGCGCCTCTATGGGCCTGGCGCACCTTCAACCCAGGCCCTGTCCTGGGGCCGCTCCACCCCTTCTCAGACTGCTGAGGGCCTCACCTCTTTCCAGAACCGAGGCCTTTGCTTGTGCTGTGTCCTCTTCCTGGAATTCCCCATCCACCCCCCTGAAAACTTGATCATGCCCTGACTGGGCAGGAAGCCTCTGGAATCTGACAGACATGGTTTGAACACCTGGTCTGTGCTGCCAGCTGTGTGGCCTTGGGAAAATTGCTTCTACTCTATGAGGCTCTGCTTCCACACTTTTAAAATGGGACTATTTTGAGGGTCACATAAGATAATGTGAAATACTTGGAACATCAGAGAATTCAGTAAATACTAAATGCTATTATTATTATTATTATTGACATAGTAACATCACTGACCATCAAGGCCTAATTCAGAAGGCAATTGCTGCATAGAGCTGCCAGACCACTGCTCCACTGGGGCCTGATGGCATCTTACCCTCCTTTAAGCCCCTAAAGCACTCACTCTTTTTTTTATTAAACTTTAAAAAAAATTTTTTAAATTGACACATAATCATTGTATGTATCTATGGGGTACTGTGTGATATGATACCTACATACAATGTGTAATGATCAAATCAGGTTAATTAATATATCTGATACTGGGGAGCACTCTGCTCCTTGGCTGAGGCTCCACAAGATCTGTTAGTGAACCTGGGTCCAGCTGCCTGTCCCAGACAAAAATAAACAACCCCAAAGTCAAATGTTGATGAAAATGGAAGTCAGCTTTTATTCTGGAATGCTGGTGACCTGTGGA